CCTTAAGAATCCACCAATTTGCATTCATATCAGTTTATTGGTGTACTGCAAAAGGATTACATTAAACATTTTTTATTTTTTTTTCCAGTGGTATTCAAAGTGTGGAACATACTAAAGGGGAATCTGAGGACAACACAGAATGTAGAAGTGAGAACGATCCGGCTTTGGAAAAAGATGACAACTTGAACCTGGATCCTGACCTGCAGACATCTTTAAAAATAAGAAACAAAGGATGTTGGAAGAGGAGTGATGGAGAAGAAAAGTCGTGCAAAGTTTGTGGGGTCACCTACAGACAGTTAGGAGGGTTGTTCAAACATATCTGGAGCCATTCCTCTAACCCTCAGAATGTTTGTGGAGCCTGCGGAGAGAAGTTTGAGTCTGAGGAAAAGTTGAAAGAGCATTTCCAAAGTTACAAAAAGCCTTACAACTGTCCACATTGTGGGAAGTCCTTTTTCTCCAAAGATGGCCTGAAGCAACACATAACAAAGCACACAGGCGATAACTTGTTTAAATGTAATGTTTGTAATAAAACCTTTTCACAGAAAGGTTTGCTGAACCAGCACCAATGGGTCCATGTAGAAAATAAACCCCACAAGTGTGATTTGTGTCCCCAGTCCTTTGGTCTGGAGTCGCATCTCCGAGCTCACAGGAAACGGCATGCGAGCAAAGATGTTTACAAATGCAAGATATGCAGTAAGTCATTGGGCGACCGCCGATCTCTGGCCCAGCACACGTTGACCCACTCAGACGAGCGACCCTACTGTTGCCAAACGTGCGGGAAGCGCTTTAAATCGAATGTTGGACTAAAAGTACACAAGATGACCCACACAGTGAGAGATCGGCCTTTCCTCTGCCATGTGTGCTGCAAGACATTTCCAACCAAGCAAACCCTGAAGTGCCACATCAGAACTCACAGCAGCGAGAAGCTGTTTGTCTGTACAGTGTGCGGTAAAGGCTTCACGTTTAGTGGAAACCTCAAAATACACATGAGGGTCCACACAGGAGAGACGCCCTACAAATGCAACGAGTGCGGACGCCGCTTTAAATCCAAGACTCACCTTACCCAGCACATGAAGACCCATTCAGGCATTAAAGATTTCATCTGTGGTATTTGTGGCAAAGGTTCTTCTAAACCGGAACATCTAAAAATTCACATGAGAACCCACACTGGAGAGAGACCCTACAAGTGCTCTCTTTGTGACAAAGCCTTCACCCAGAGCCACTGCCTGAAAACACACATGAAGACTCACCAGACTGAAGAGTCGCCCTCGCTCCCTCCTGCTACTGAAGATGGTTCAGAAAGTCTGAAATGAAGGACAGACCTTATTCTGATTTACATTCCTACTTTAGATCAGTGTTTGTATTCCACCTTTTTGAAATTCTGAGTTAAATTTGGATGTTGTAGAAGCAAAAAGGAATAAACTCCTTAACCAAAAGGTCTGATGAAGTCATTTATTACTGTTGTGTCTCATTCTGTAGCGCTCTTGAATTGCAACACGGATGTCCTTGGTTCACATTCACACCCAGGACCTTTCCTCATTCAGATTAAATGTTCTTCCAGTGCATC